CGTGAGTATTATCCGTAATGCGCTTTTCAGGAACAGACCTGAAAGGTATGACACGTAGGGTTTTTTCCTCTACCAGTTTTAGAAGAGGGTCTGGATGGGGGTGCCTCGAAAACACTAAACACTAAAATTTTTCCATCTATAACATCAAACGGTTAAATTTTAGGCTGTTTAACATCTAACACTAAGAAATTCACTGCAACACTAAATTTGATACAAATGTAAGCGCAAATGGCTTAAAAAAGCGAAAGATACTAATCAAGACAAACGTGGACATTAGATATAGAATAATGCGCTTTTCAGGAACAAACTTGAAAGGTATGACACGTAGGGTTTTGTCCTCTACCAGTTTTAGAACAGGTCATACCGAATTGAAATCATAGCATCGGTCTCCTTGACGAGCTTTGCTCACGAAAAAATTTTGCATCAGGGTACGAAGGTGATTACTGACACATTTGAACCGTAAAATTTGGTTGAATTCCTTATTTTAGCTAAAGTTATCTGGACGGTTATACAAAAGAAGGTGCGATCCAGTCTTCGATAAAATTTTTAAAATTAAATGAGATATTGTAAAGTATTTCAGACCAATTACGGACACAGCCATAGTTAACTTAATGAAGACTTTACTCTAGTAATGACGCTCGTACGTTTACAACGATGTTAAGCGATTATATCAATCGTGAATAAAGAAAGAATCGAAAGCTCTAAAAAAACTAATCACCAGTATCAATGGACTCTATTTACAACTATATATTTAGTGCTTTATGCGCCTAATCTATTTCCTCATTAAGGAAAAATACTAAGATTATCGCAAAATTACTGTATTACTTAAAACACCTAGTGAAGTCAAATTTGTCTTTAAAAAAAGTAGACAGAAAACGCAAAAAAAGGAGGATCGTTGGTTCACAATCGTTTTTCAACAGTCTTATGAAATGAAAAAAGAAAAGAATTAAATGAAAAAAAAAAAAGGGTTAGTATTTACCGGTTGTTCGAAGGGTGGACAAAACTATCCTCTGGCTGTCACTTTCGGTTGATAACGCTTTGTCAACATTAATGCTACCGTTGGGTAGCATTGTGCGCTTTGTCAACATTAACGCTACCGTTGGGTAGCATTATTTGTCCTTTGAACAACTGGATCCCAATTGATGATGTCTCCTCTTTAACAGGCTAAAAATCATCACAGAGATATTGCTGTCGGCAGTGATAGCAAACATACCTGACAAT